GACACAGACAACTAGGGACAGGGCTGGGGTGAGGTCTCAGAATGTGCTTACGGGCCACTCTGCTACCTTCTCATTCCAAAGGGAGCCCATCCTAAGGCCTCCCCCTAACCACGCCCCAGGACCACCCTGACTACCGCTCAGGTTTCTCAGAATCCCAAAGTCCACAAAAGACCTCTCTCCAGTGGATTCCTGTGCTAGACTCCAGAATAGTGGCAGTTGCGGTTATAAAAGTAATACTGACAATAATGTAAACCCTTGCTGAAGGACTGCTCTATGTCAGGCACTGCATTCATCTCATTTATTCTTTATTCCACCTCCATATGAGGTAGGAATTGTTATTACCCCATTTTAGAGATGAGGAAACTGAGCCTCAGATTAAGTTACTTGCCCAAAATCATATACAATGGAGTGAACTCCCTAAGTGGCCCTAAATAACCCTTCACAGGGTCCCATGAGAGCTAGCAGAGACGGAATGGAGCCAGGTGGTCCGTGACCCCCAGACTCCCCTCGAGCGGTGAGCCCTCTCTTTCCTACTGCGGGACCACCGTCTGGCTGGCGCAGTAGCAGGGCCAGCCTGGGTGGGGCCCGCCCACTCACCTGGAAGCGGCAGGCTCGGTGAGCGGTGCCTGCAGGGTGCGTGGCGTGGAGCCGGGCACAGGGCAGGCTGCCAGGTCCCGGCGGCCAATCCTGCCCTTTGAGGTGGAAGAGGACTCGGGCGTGGGGTTCTGCTGGAGTCACAGCCGCCTCCACTGACACTGCCCGCACGTCCCACGGGACCGGCCTGTGGTGGGGCTCAGTGACCCCAGGAGGGACCACCTGCAGAGAGAATGGGGGTGCTCAGAGAGCATGGGGTAGGGGGAGGATGGGATGCGAGGCTTCTGATTCTAGCCCGGCAGGAGAGAGCTTTTACGGGCCTCAGTTTCCCTCTCTGGGAAATGGTGAGCACAGCTGAGGCTGGGGCAGGCCCCTGAGCCACACCCAGCAGGCCTGGGCTGAGCCCTGTCCGCCTGGGAATCCCTGGTGCCCCTCCTTACCTGCTGAGTGGCAAAGGGCGGGTAGGAGGCCCGGAGAAGTGGCTGGGCCCTGGGCCAGGGCTGCAGGAGCAGAAAGGTCTCAGATCGGGAGCCCAGAGAGGAGTTGGCAGGTGGGTAGCGGCCCACCTGCTGCACACGGAAGTGCTCGGGGGCATCCAGGAGCTCCAGGGCTGCCGGCAGGTAGACGGGGTCCAGAGACTCCTGCTCACAGGCCACTGAAGAGGGAGAAGGGATAGAGGTGGGGACAGGTCCAGAGCTGGTGGGGGCAGAGTGGCAGTGGGCAGTGGAGGAAGAAAAGGGTTATAAATGTCCCACCCCGGGATACGGTGGGGAATCTCACCATTGCACAGATGAGGAAACGGAGGCCCAAAGAGGATCACACAGGTAGCGTGTGCAACAGCTAGGATTTGAATCTGAATCCAGGACTGGATGCCAGTCCTGAACCATTCCTTCCTCTACCTCCCTCCCTCCAGCAGAACCTCCACAATGCCTCCTCCTCCCCCTTTCCTCCCCCATATCCAACTGTCTCTGAGACCAAGGCCTTTGTAGAGTACAGTTCTCTCCAGACGCAGCTTGTGAGGTAAAAGATGGTGACCAGGTGAGCTTCGTAAAAGTACAGACCCTCTCTCTGCTCTTCGATCCTTGGCCAGACTTGGTTGGGCATCCACTGCCCCTCCGTCATCATCACCATGGAAACCTCTCATCAGTTTCCCCAACTTGCTCCCCTCCTCCCTATCCCAACTGGGTACAGAATGCAAGAGCGGGCAGGAGGTGGTATGGGTGGGAACCATGAGCCTGGGAGAGAGTCTTGTATTCAGTAACCAGGACAAAGGACCACTAAGACCACACTTGGTCTGTACCCAACTAATAATGAACAACTTTAGAACGCTAACTATATGCAAGCTACCATTTAAAACACTTTACATACTTGTATTAACTCTTTCAGTGTGGGGTACAACTCTGAGGACTAGGTTCTATGACGATTAATCCCATTTTACGGGTGCAGAAAATGAGGCTGAGAGGTTAAGGTCCTTGGCCAGGGCCCCATGGCTGGCGCATAATAGGGCTGGGAGTCAGCGTCCAGGCCTCAGCCACCAGACCGCCCGGCCTCCTGCCTCCACCCCTCTCCGCCCTATGCTGCCTGAGACAGTGCTAGCTCCCTAGACTGTGGGTCTCCTTCAGGGCCATTCACAGTGAAAGTTGCCTCCTTAAGGAAGCCCTCCTTGACTGTTTGGCCTCTCACCCAGCAACCTCCGTTCTAGGCCTCCATAGTGGCCTTCTCTGAATGTCCTCTTCCCATCTATCAGCAGGGACCTTGTCTTCTTCATCCTGGATCACAAACTGGGCAGCTCTCCCAGGAGAGGACATCCTGGGAGCCTGGAGACCTGCATTTACATCCTAACTCTGCCTCGAGGAAGGTTGGGTCAGTCACTTCACACCTTGGAGCCTCCCTTTCCTCACCTGTAGAACCGGCACATACTGACGTTGTAGACAGGAGAGGGCTTTGTAAAGTGTGGAGAGCAGGACAGAGGAGGGGTCACTGCTGCCCATAATGGATGTGACAAGGCTTTCCTCCTCTCTCCATGAAAGGGGTTATTAGGGCTCCCGCAGGGTCCCCTGGGGAGGGGAGCAGGTGGCTGAAAGCAGCCCCCCAGCCAGCTCCCTCTCAGCTCCATTGCTGGGCTGGGGGACTTGATGGTTTCAACCTCCTTCAAGATCCTCCCCATCAATGAGCCTGTGCCTGAGACATGCGCCCCCCCCAACCCCCACCCCCCGCGCCGAGAAGTGTAACAACAGGTGAGTGACTAGGCTCCCAGGGGGCAGCCCCCGGCCCCCCTTCCTCCTCCCACTCCATTGCCTGGATAATTACAAGATGCTGGGAGGCCTGACTCCCACGGGCTCCCAGCATCCAGATCTCAACTCTCTCGGTCATTTCACATCTGAGTTAACATCTGGGGGTGAGTGGGGTCGAGGATGTCTCACTATCTCCCACTCTTCTGTGGCATCATCCACCCGGCAGCCACAGCTCCCGCCAAGGGCAGTCTGCCCCCAGGGAACAAGGGAGTCGCTGCCCCTTCCTCCTATGATGGGGATCCCCACAGGGCTTAGGCAGGCGCGGCTGGGACAATCGCTGGACTCCAAGGTCAGAGAACTCCTTGGGGCAGGAGCGCGGCTGCGTATCTCGCAGGTCCCAGGCAAAGAGGTTGCTTCCCGCCCCCGGGGGTGGGTTGGTGGTGGCGAAAGGCAGAGCCACGCGGGTGCAGCTCTGCGGAGGGCAGGTAAGGGAGCTGGTGCGCCCGGGTCAGGGGCAGCTGGGTTGGATGCCCTGCCGGGAGGGGAGGCTCGTGGAAGGTGCGGGACCCCGTAGGGGTGCGGGGGGTGGCGGTAAGAGCCCGGGACCCGGCTGATCCCGGGTCTGGGAGGAGTTGCCGGGTTGCGCAAGGAGAAGGAAACGTTGGGGCAGGATCCCGGGTGAGCTCGAGCCAGCCTTCAAGGCACGCTGCGGGCGAGCCCGCCGGGGTTTAGTCCGAGCGCCCGCAGGTTCCCGGCGCCAGGGTACCGCTCGCGCTCGGCCTCGCCAGGGCCCAGCCGCCTTTCGCCCGCCCCACCCCTCCCGCTGACCTCTCACGACGTCCAGGGCGAGGGCCACCAGGAGGCAGAGCCAGGGGCCGCAGGGTGCCCGGGGAACCGCGGCCGCGCGCCCCTCCATCCGGGCGCACATCCTTCCCACGGAAGGCGGAGACTAGGCGGGCGGCTCAGGTGGTCGAGGGCCGCCCGGCATCTCCCGCGCCCGCTCGGCGCCGGCCCGACCCGGCCGGCTGGGTGCTGGCCGCCGCCCGCCCGGCCGCACGCCCGCGGCTGCCGTTCCCAGACAATGGAGCGGGAGCTGGAGCCGGAGCAGGAGGTGGGAGGGAGGGAGCGCACGCAGCTCAGGGGCTGTCCCTCCGCCGCGCCGGGTCCTAGTGCCCTACGGATCGCCAATCCACGGGCGCCCCCGCGCTCCAGCTCGGGGAGAAGGTCACTTCCCTGGAGAGTGAACCGCACGGGACTGCCCTGCCTTTGCCAAGAGGGACGGGAGGCCTTCCGTTCTCTCCCTCTCAGAAGCCCCTGAATCGGGAGGAAAAAGCCACTTCCTCTGCCTCTGCCCCGCCCTACACGCGCCTCACCTGTAAAGGCATCTGACACCTGGATCAGAACCTGAATTCAAGGACAAGGGAGACCGTGCGGCAGGGCTAGAAAAGGGGTGAAAGGGGGCCAGTAGGGCCGGTGACAGCCACTGTAGCTTGCCCTGGCAGGGGCCCACTCCGGGGAGGAAGGGCTCCGCGTGCAGGCAGCTAGAATTTCGTGCCAGTCCCGTCCAGAGGGAGGCCTGTGGACATAGGTAGTGTGGGAGCCGTCTCTGCCTCCCAGGTGCTGGTCCCCTCCCCCGTCCGGTCCCCTACCCCCGCCCCCGCCCCCAGGCCCAGTCTTGCCAGCTACCAAGTGTCGGAGAGGTTCCAGAGCAGGATACTGGCTGAACAGCAGCATCTCCAGGGCAGCTAAAAAAAGAAAAATAAACAAAAAAAAAAACATGCCCAGGCCCCTCCACAAAATTGATTCGATCTATGGGCTGGGTTGAGAACCACAGTCAGGAAACTCCGGTCTGGCGGGGGCAGAGGGCCCGCGGGCCAGGCTTTGACACTGTTGCACAAAGGGGTGGGGTGCTGGCCCGTTCCTGGAAGTTTTATTACCGCACGCCTCCCTCATTCCTCCTGGCTCTGGAGGGAAGGGTACCTGGTACCGGCCTTCCTTCCTGCCCCTACCCTCCCTTCCCTTCCTGCCAGCTTGGCCCGCCCTGCCCCTGCTGGGGGAAGTCGGGAACGCCCGTGGGGCTCTACAAAAATGGGTTTAGTCGCAGAGGGTGAAATCAGAGCCATCCAGACTTCGAGTAATACATGTTACACGGAACAAGATAATAAAATAGCGAGCACTTTATTTAAAACCAACCAAGCGCTGATAAAAAATATATATCACTGCAGCTGTGGTTCCACATGAGACCTTAACGGTAAGAACTGGGCATTTATTCACTCTTCGTGTCACGAGGGTCCCGTGCAGGGCCTGGCGGAGAAGGGTGGACGCCCACCTGCACCAGAGCCTCTAAGGAAGGCGGAGAGCCCTGGTGGAGTGGGGTTGGCAGGCTCCCCCTGCTCCCTGCAGAGCATGTGATGGGAAAGGGCTGTGGGGCCATCTCTGGTGTATCTGCTCCGTGATCCGCCCAGGCCACTGGAGTGGGCCCTGACCAGCGACTCCTTGGGGGCAGTGAGTGGCGACAGAGATGGAGACCTGCCTGGAGCTTAGCAGACAAGGAGAGTCCTCCTTTCTCCTCAGGTCCCTGAAGTCCCCACAGGGGACCGGAGGCCACGGCACCGGCACCGTCCTCCATGCAAGCACAGCCTATGAAGCGTCATCTTTTGCTCCGACTGAAGGGGAATCGGGATCCTGAGAGGAACCTCTTCTTGACACAAAGCAACCACAGCATGCTTTCCTACGCACAGTGCGGCGGCGGGCAAGCAGAGGGCCCACTGCCTCGGATTAAGGCACTTGTAACAGACTCAATGTACATCTCGTCCCCAGCCCCATGGGGGAACACCCCCGCTTCTCTTCCCCTCAAGTCCCATGTACCCTGCCTCTTTCCCATGCTGGGCAATAAAGGGGACAGGAGCAGGCCTTGAGGGAGTGGTTTGATTGGAGCACAGGACTGGAAGGAGACAAACAGGAAGGGAGCTGGAACTTGGCAGAGGAGGGGCAAGAGAAGGACAGGAGAGCAAGAGCAGCAGCAGGAAGGCAAGGCAAGGCAGCGGCAGAGTCACAGGCGGCCAGTGGTAGTGATGTTTGCTGAGGACAGATGCAAAAGCTGGGGGTGGGGGGTTGCTCCCCAAGCTACCCTGGCTGAGACAGGCAGGGAGCAGAGGAAGGGGTAAGAGAACCAACCAACCCCAGACAGAGGACCAGCACGGGAATGGTCTTCCTCCCTCTCAGCTAGGGGCCTGGTGCAGAGGTCAAGGTTCTGAGCGCTCAGAGACAGGGCAAGAGAGGGGCAGGGGGCTGGAAGGAGGTCCAGCGACCCAGAGAAGCAGCTCAGCTCTTTGGTATGATGAAGGTGGCCTTGTTGGGCGTCCTTCTCACTCCTCTTCCACACCGCGGGTCCCCTTGGCCACTCGCCTCTGCCGCCAGCGCATCTCTTCCACCTGGCGCTCCAGCGCCCGAATCTTGGCCTCCAGCTGGGCCCCCGAGGCCCGGCTGCCAGTGAGCCGGCTCAGCAAAGCGTAGAGGGTCAACAAGGCCAGGAGGAGCAAGGCCCTGGTGGAAGGGTCGGGCACCGACCTCACCAGGGCCACAAAGCCGACCAAGAAGAGGACAAGCTTCAGGCCCCCCAGGATCCGCCCCAACAAGGTCAGCAGCAAGCCAAGGAGCAGGGACAGAAGCCAATAGATTATCAGGGCCGCCCCTCCCCACAGCAGGAGGGTCTGGACCTGGCTGGGGCTGAGCTTCAGGCCCTGGGTGAGGTTATCTCCTGAAAGGACAAGAGCCACAGAATTAGCCAACCTGGAGTAATGAGGGGCGGGTAGGGGAGGGGAGAGTTAAACCGCAAAGAATGGGAGGATTTAAACCACCCCCACCGCCCTCCCCAAAGGAAATGAAAACGCTTCCCCACAGGGTCACAGAGATGTGAGCCTGAATCCCTCAGCCCTGGTTCCTGCCAGCTGTGGGTAGATTTCATCCCTGGGTTGAGCCTGTTTCATCTACAGCATGGGAGTAATTCTGTGGGCTATGAGATACTATGGCTTAGCATGATGCTTCTCCTGACACGAAGCTAACGCCTGGCAGGTGGTGGCAGTTTTTGGCCTGCTCTTATGCTGGCCTCTGGGGAAAACTGGGAGGCGTCAGGAGGCTGGGGAACTGTTTAGACCCTGAAAAGGGTCTAACGCCCACAAACAGGAAGGGATGGGCTAAGCTCCAGCTGGCCTAGCCAGTTGGCCGCCACTCACCATCTAGTCCCAAGGCATTCAGCAGCTGCGCGGAGATCCCAGACAGAGCGAAGAAGCCCACAGAGATGGCGGAGGAGATGGCCCCCATCACCTGAGACGTGGTCTGTGGAAAGAGCGATGCTGAGATGAATCCATAATTAATGAGGCCCTTCTCCTCCCAGCCTCTCCACCGCTGCACAGGCAAGGCCCGGCAGGAACGTCTCCCACCTGCTTCTCAGCCAGAGGTTTGCCTGCTTGGGCTGGGCTGGGGGTCCCTTCCACACTGCACAGGGATGGACTGCAGACCAGGCCACTTCTCCTTCCTGAACTGGAACCCAGGACATCTGGGCCCTAATTCAACTGATTTGCTTGAACACTCTGCTGGAGGTAGCAGGTGTGTGTGGGCGGGGGAATCATCAAATCCCTGTTGTAGTCATCCTGTAAAACTGGGGTCCCCCTAGGCCTCCCAGAGAATCATGAAGGTGTGTGCAGTGACAGCTGTAAAGGGCTAGGATGTCCAGTGAAAAAGCAGTCAGTCAGCTCTACTGTATTATGGGTGTTATAAATGGCCCTCTCAGCCGTTTAGTACCATCTATCAAAAGTACGCAACGCCGTGTTTGGGACGCCATTAGGTAGAAGAGTCAGCCCTGCTTTTAGCCTTGAGTCAGCCCTACCCCAGCCTCTACCGGCAAAGACATGATAGTTGGCCAACTTAAGACTTTACATCAAATGTAGACCAAAGTCAGGCTGTGTAGTCACCCAGTGACAAGGGTGTGTAAAAATAGCTCATTTCCCAGCCTTTCTGGCAAGGAGGGACAGGAACAAGGGAAAGATGGGGGTGGCGCTAAGGGCCTTAGGGTAGAATTTAAACAATAGGAGTGCAAACTGTCTGCTTCTCTTTGTAGAATTTGGCGCTCTCTGCACCAGGGAGTATGGCACACAGAAGATGTAGAGCCAAGATGGGGTAGCCACGAACATCTCCTCCTTTGTTTTTCTCAGTGCATGTAGTCACAGCAGGGACCACATTCCTTACCTCAGAAACCAGGTGCATGTTCTCTGGCCCAACCCAGGCATCCAGCGTTCTCCGCACAGACCGCCCTATCTGGCTCAAGAGATCAGCCGGGACCTCCTTCTTCTGATGGCCGGGTTGCGTAAAGTCTCGAGGGGACTCGGACGATGCTGAGTGGAGGAGGATGAGGGCCACGAGGATCATCAGGATGACTTTAAACAGATGCTTGCCTGATGGCCAAGTGTTACTTGAACCTGCCATTCTGGGTCTGTAGGGAGAGAGGCACAGGGTGAGTAGAGAGCCAGAATGGCGTAGAAGCCCACCGTCTCAGCCATGGCCTGCCCCAGCACCCTCCTCCACCCCTACCCTGTCAGTTGAGAAAGGCAGAATTGGGACTTCCCAACTTAAGCTGGGCACAACCACCGGATTCGCAGATTCCTCTTTCCCATTCTTTACTACTTGCACATTCATTAACCTGTGAGGATTACTCAATGCCTTAGGGTGGAGGGGAAGATCTCTCTAATGCTTACTCCAGTTCTAAAAATCTGAAGGCCTGGCCCTGGCCAGGTAGCTCCGTTGGTTAGAACGTCGTCCCGACATGCCAAGGCTGCCAGTTCAATCTCCGGTCAGGGCACATAGAAGCAACCAGTGAATGCATAAATAAGTGCAACAACAAGTTGATGTTTCTTTCTCTCTCTCTCTCTCTCTCTCTCTCTCTCATCAATAAATTTTTAAAAAAATTTTAAAGGCTGACAAAAATCTGAAGGCCTGAAGGAAAGAGAGCAGATCTCAATGGTGGCTGCCCATGGGGACACGTGGGAGCTTCACAAAGGACTGATTCCACTGTTCCGCACCCCGTGGTTCTGATGTCACTGTCGCGATGTAGCCTCGGCTTAGAAAGAAAAAGCTCCCCAGGTGATTCCACTGTGCAAAGCTGAGACCCACAGACTCAGAAGGAACTCAACTCTCCAGCCCCGTATGTAGGCAAAAGGTTATAAAGCACCACTTTTTAGGAAAGATATTATTAATAAAAAGCTAACCATGCACCGCCTATCTCATTTAATCCTCATAACAGCCCGTCATGTAGATACTGTCATTATCCCCCATTTCACTGATGGAGAAACCGAGGTGGGATAAGAAGCAAGTGGAAAGACTAGGATTTGAATCCAGGAGCGCCTCACATCAGACCCTTTGTACACGCTCCGCTGCCAGATAGTCTCCAGTGTAAGTCTCAGAAGTGATTTAGAAAGTCACGCAATAGAGTCTCCGTGAGGTAAAAGAAATTTGGCATCTATCAATCACCTCCATGAATTACTGGTGACAATTCACTTAACCACTTGGTATTTTGTGCTCTGATCTCGTCTATGACATGATACTATGCCACAGACAAGTTAAGACCCGACAAGTACCAACTTGTTGAAGCAGGTGAGGATCAGCCAAGAAATGTTTGCAATCCCAACTTCTCTTTGCGACCATGCTTGAAAAATGTCAAATGGCCCCGCAAATACCCTCTTCTCTTCCAGGCTGAGAAAATGAACCTGTAGCTTCTATGATTCAGACCTCATGATCAGAAGCTAAGTCATACCCCTGAGGTAGGAGCAGCCAGGCGCTTGAAGTTTCTGCAGCTACCAGGGCACTCCGAGAGCTGGCCAGAAATCAGAGCCATCAGGATGGAGGAGAGGGAAGAGAGCTTGTTCAAGGAAGGGGTATTTATAAAAAATATCGCATTCAGGCACTTTCTGGCCCTGGAGCAGCTGCTCTAAGTCTCCCTGGAGACCTGTAGGATCAAGCAGGGCTGGAAAACATGCAATTCATGTGGAACAACCCCGGGCTGGAAAGCCACCTACTCTTTTTGGCACAAATCAAGAACCAGATGGTTCCTGCCTACCAGTGGTCGGAGATGAGGAAGGCACAGGTCAGTTTCTGAGCGATCTGGGTCAGAGCCACACCGGGGACTTAAAGAGCGGGGCTTGCTATGTTGGGTTGGATTCTACATCCAAGGACCTCCACCAGCAGGAATCGGAGGCTGCCTCCTCCATTCTAGAAGGTCAAGGTGATATGAGCTGCTCCCCACGTGGCAGCCTGCTGAGTTCTGCACTAGTGGCCACCGGACCCAGTTGAGGGGAGCTGGGGGACCTTGAAATAAACCGTCCCCAACGGGGCCGGCATTGCCCTGCCAGCTGACCTTGTGACGTGCACTAGAAACCTAATCTAACAGAACTGTGGAGTGTGCCCTCTGCAAATAAGAGTGCAGATTACTGCCTGGCCCGTTTCTTCGAATTGTTTTCTTTAACAGAAGCCTTTTTCTTCCACATTAATCCCAGGCAGCAAGAATCTGACCCATCACCATTACACCTCCTCACTTCAGCCCCAGCCAATCAAACACTTTTACTAAAAAGACGCCATGATCAAGAGCAGAAGCAGTCTTGAGCTCTGTGGGAAAGTGCGTCTTAAGTGTCTTCACCTCCTGTAATGCTTAGCCTCAAAGAGCAGGCCCTCAACAATAACAAACTGTGTGTGTGTGTGTTACAACATAACATATAGTGTGTTGTTTATAATTTACAAAGTGCTTATTATTTCACTATTTCATTTAACTCTTAGAACAATCTTATAAGACATTGCTACTTGCCACATTTTACTCAGAAAACGATGGCTTAAAAAGGTCAAGTGACTTGGTCCAGTTCACACAGCAGAACTGGGCTTGACTCCAGAAACCAGATTCTAAATCTTGCCCTTTGGCTCAGTCCATACCCCCACACTGGCTCCATAAGACATGGTCCCTGCCCTCAAGGCAATTACAGTTCTCCCCAATACCAACAAGTTCAAAGTGAGAGGACATCCAGGCTCCCAGCACGAGACTGCACACCAGGAGACGACCTACCTGCTGGGCTCACAGGGCATGGTTTTGTATCAAGAGGTAGGAGGACAGCAAACAGTTGGGACTAGACCTTCCAACTCTGGTTCGGGCAGCTGCAATATGGCTCTGGCAGGGCAGGGGAACCCCAGCTGAGTGTGGAGAACTGCTTCCTTTAACTGTGGTAGTGAGACGGCACTATATGTTTAGGTGTGGTTTGCTAAGAGAGTGGGGTGGAGCGCTCCACACATCCCATGCCAAAGCTCCTTCCCCTGCTTAGTTTCCTTTCACTGCATGAATCACAACGTGGCGGGGGCGGGGGGTGGGGGCAGCTGTCTTAGTGCCCTCTGCTGGCCCTGATTTCCCCTTCACTGCTCAGAGCTGCCCCTATGGAGCAGTGATTCTGAACTCTGACCATCAGGGTGCCCCCACACCAGGGCCAGCTACCTCAGACTCTCCCAGAGAGGGCTCATACTTTTGTTTTCAGAGCTCCCAGGGATTTCTGATGCATAACCACAATCAGTAATACAGGGGAAAGTATACTCTAGGCAAAGCCCTGAAAGGGTAGCAGTGGACAAAGGACCCTCTCAAGTTTCGTTCCAGGCTCAATCTGCCATAAAATTAGAAGCCACTACTTTATGCCTATTACTTTATCTGAGTTTCAGTCTCCTCAAATGTGAAATGGGGTTAAGCAGGGTTAAGAGTTACTGCAAGTTAACATGTTTCTGCTAGAACTTTGTACACTGTAAACACTGAAAGAAACGTTGCAGCACACAAATTGCCAGTATACCACTCATTACTTTGTAGCAGGGTTTAGCAGTTTATATACCTGCTTCCCCCTTTAGACCCGGAGCACCTCCTGGTCAGACTTGACAGCTAACTCTTCTTGGAATCCCCAGCATCTACCATAGAATGATGACTAATACATGCTTGCTAAATGAACATTAGAAGCCCCCCAAGAAGCCATGAGGGTAGGAACGGAGAGCCCTGGAGAGGAGGGGAGATGGTCTTATTTTAAAGTTGATCTAAATTTGCAGCGGCCACCCAAGGAGGGCAGCTGTGTTGAAAGAAAGCTCTTAGACCGGGCGAAGCTGCCACTGCGGGGAATGAAGTCAGCGTCATGGCAGGTGGGGGCAGCCCCCGCTAACCCCCTGACAGCTGCTTCCCAGCAACTGTTTGGGGGCAGGGCGACAGGCCAAGGGGCAGCTTCCCAGCCGAATAAGCCCTCTCCAGAGCCCAGCCTCCAGGAGACAGGGTGTCAGTGGCATGCGCTATTTCGAACAGCGTGTCCCCTGCCAAGCCCTTGCTGGGTGGCGACTCTGGCAAGGGATCCGGCGCGGCCCCATGGGTTCGGAGTACCCCAAAGGGCTCGGAGCGAGGCCGCAGGAGGCTGGGACATAAGGTGGGGGTCGCGGGCGAGATGCCCAGCGCTGGCCTCTTTCTCCGCCCTGACCGCCTCCGCTCCATCGCGTAGCCGCACCTCCCCAAGACTTCTGAGCACTGCTCCGAACCCTTAGCTCCCGGAAAAAAAGTGCCTCCTGTTACCTAGTAACGACGCCCCCTGTTGCATAGCAACGAGGATCCGGGTCCCCAATTGCAGTTCCCGCCGCGCGACGTCGGACCCCTCCCCAGTCGAGCTTGCCCGGTCTCGCGACTCCACCCCGGCCCCGCCTAGTGTGACTGCAGCCTCGTCGGCCGGGCCTGTCCCTGAGCTCCGGTTTCGGTTCGCACTCACCAGCCTTCGGCCACTGCTGCCCTTCACGTGCGACTTCGCTAAAACGCGCCACCAAATCCGCGCCTAAATCCCCGGGTGGTGTTTTTTCGTCTGCGCACGCGCAAGGCGGAATACTCCCTGGTGCGGGCCGCTGCCCTCCGTGCCCAAACTGGGTGCGATATTGCGCATGCGCCCTACACTTGATTCCCGCCCCTCCCCCCGCCCTCCCGCCCCATCCCGCCCCCTCCCGCCAAGCTTTCCCACTGGGAGAATAGGGCGATTGGAAGCCCGAGCTGGGAACGGAAGTCTCTGGCTGGAAGGGAGAAAGCTGTGACCATATCTGGCCTGCAAAGTGGGTAAACTGGATCTTTGAATTCGGTGTCGAGGCCTATCCGCCTCTCCAGCCCCTAGGCATATCGGGCAATGTAGTCTTTCAGCTTCGTAGTGCCTCCTGGGCATTGTTCTAACGGAGGGGCGCTCAAGAGCCCTTGGTACTTTGAGAAACTTTTCGCGCTAAAAAGACACAAAGGGAAGAGGTGTTGGAGCAGTTAGAACCTCATAACGCTGGGGAAATGCATCCGCTCTCTGAGAGAGCAGTTCCACACCCGAACTCTGCAGATGGCTCCCAAATGTTCATTCGATTGTACAGAAGGAAAGGAACCAATTCCTATACCCCATTTCTGCAAAAAACGGGCAGCATTTGGCGGGGCAGGAATTTGGAATGAGGTGATTCCTTGCCTGCTTTGTAATTTTGGGCACGTCGGTTCATCTCTGTGAGCCTCAGTTGTTTCTACTATAAAAACACTTCATAGTAGGCGTGGGGGATTCAAGGAAGTAAGAGACTGTACTTTTTTTTTTTTTAATCCAAGTTGCTCTGAATTTTTTTAATCCTCTACACTGGCTGCCCTGGAAAAGCTCCCCTTTGATGTTAAAGAAGTTCCTGAAACTCAACACTCTAAAATGGGACCCTTTCCACCCCTACCCTCCCACCTGAATCAGCCTTCTAATTCTGTCTTCTTCGCAGACTGTATGCAGAGGAGTAATAAGTAGTCTGTCACCTCTTCCAGTTGTTTCTTTCCTTCTGATGCTTGTCAGCGCTTCTGTCTTGCTCTGGACCCTCATCACTTCGCATCCCCCTCCCCTTCCAGGCTGCCTTTTATTTTTTCTTAAGTATGTATTTTTTAAACTTTTTTTTGTGGAAAATTTTATTTATCCATTTTTAGAGAGGGAAAGGGAGGGAGAAAGAAGCAGCAATGTGTCGTTGCCTCTCAAGCGCCCCCTACCGGTGACCAGCCGGCAACCCGGGCAAGGGCCGCAACCAGAATAGAACAGAGGCGACCCTTTGGTTCGCAGTCCTGCACTAGATCCACGGAGCCACACCAGTCAGGTGTCAGCCTTTCTATCATTTGCAACTTTACCCTTGCTTGTGAGATTGTTTCTGATTTGTAGGACCACCAATCTCAGGTCACAGACTTTCCTGTGGAAGAAATGTCACTTTCTCCCCTCATGACTAGTTAATTTCAACTCTTTTCAACTCTCTTTTCCATCGGGGTGATACAAATGATCTCTGTCAGTTCAGGGGTTTTCCCACCCTTGATTTTCATGCTGTACACGCCTTCTGGAAAATTAACATAGTGCCACAGGAGGGAGAGGGGAAGGATTCGTCTAATCCTCAGTGTCAGTTGTTTGAGCTGCATTATCCTGCCTAATTCTCTGTCATGTGGAATGAACTCAGAGTCTGGAGGCTTTGCTAGAAATAAATGATAAAGATTAATTAAAGGGCCTTAGAGTTTGCAAACTGGGAACATAGCTAAGCCAAAACCCCAAAAGAAGAAAGAATAGTTAATAGTTCTTATAGTAAGAAGTACGTTCTTGAGAAATAGCAGTCCTACGTTCTTAGCCCTATGATTGATCCAGATGATTATCAGTCCGATGTCATGCAGTCTGCATGATGGATGCCAAATGGTCCAGAAAAAGAAGATGCGTGCCAGGAGGTCTGGTCACATCAGCGGCCTGGATATGTGAGTCCTTCAAGGCATACTCAGAGGATTACCTGGAGTTCTTGTCTATTTCCAGATGTATATCCAGGCATTGACACAGGACTGGAAGGTTCAAAAAGTTGAAGTTCCCAGGCTAGTTAGAACGAGAATGGAGTCTTTTGTCATACCTCAACCTTCATAATGTTAATAATTTTGGCAGTTAGAGTGACTCTATTTTATATAGTCCCTGTCTTTACTCTTTCTGCAGTCACTTGTTCACACAGTTTGCCACTAAATCTACCCAGGAAATGGAGCTTCTTTTATATTATTGGCCAATGGAGTAGGGCATCGAGTTCCTTCCTCAGAGACCCACCAACAGCTATCATATATCCCCTCCCTACCATGTCTGCCTTCCCAACCTAGGTAATCTGTATCTCCTCTGTGGAGAGGTTGAGATTGGGGGAGGTAGGGAGGACTCAGGTCAAGCTCTTACCTGAAATATTTTCTCCGAAGTCAAATGCCCAGAATCCTTTCTGTTCCCTGAGGGGCTGGCTTTTGAAACTCAAAAGCCTTGAAAGGACTCCCCTTTTCTTCCATTCTTCTATCACAGCCATAAGCTCCTCAGTAGAGGGACTCCTCCTCTAGTTTCACTCACAATGGTATCCCCAATGCTTAGTACAGTGCCTGACTGGCACACAGTGGGTTCCCAATAAAGATTTGTCCAATGAGTTACTAGGTCTCTCTCCCTTTACTCTGTTCCTCTCCAACCCATCCAGTTAAACATCTTCCAGAGGAATCTTCTGGAAGTGTGGTTATTCCTCCACAGCTCAACTGCTGTTCCACTGCCAACCCAAAAAAAGCCTAACCACCTCTGGTTCAAGGCCCAAACTAAAAGGATGCATTTTATTTTCTACCACATCCAGGTACTTAAGATACCTGGCTTGTCGGGCAGCCTGTCATTCAACCAACAAGTTATGAAGTTCCTGCTGTGTGTCAGGCACCGTGTTGGACTGAGAAACAGTGGCCAGGACAACTATGGTTCTTGCCATTGCAGAGCTTACATTCTAATGGAGAATCCAGACACCAAACAGAATACTTGCAAACAGTTCAATGGTCATCGTTATCCAGAGTGGCTCAGAGGAGAATTACAGGATGCTGTGGGGGCTAAACTTCAGTTAGGGGACAAGAAAAAGTCTCCAGAGGAAGCATCATTTAAGGTGAGATTGAAATTTACTTGGAAGGTATAAGAGGAGAAGGGAAGGAGGGAGGGAGTTGAGGAAAGTGTTCCAGGTGAAAGTCCTGGAACCAGCCAGAGTGGGTAAGTTTGAGAACTTGAAAGGCCAGTGCAGCTGGAGAGAAGAGGTGAGATTGGGAAGGTCAGTGTGCGCTAAATGGTGCAGGACTTGGGGGAAAAGATTCCTCTGCAGATCTCAAAAAAACAAACAAACAAAAAAAAGTTACCTCTTCAGAGACGCCCTCCTTGCTTAAAGTAGCCCATCCTTATGATCCACATCTCCTGTCCCCTTTACTCGGATTTGTCTTATTCTTAGCACTTACCACTCTGGGATTTTCTCATGTGCTGATTGTCAAGGTGTCTACTGGTTCCCCTGCCCTGCTACCTCAGAATTTAAGCTCCAAGAAAGCAGAAACCTCGTCTTTCTTGTTCACCATTTTTACCTCCAGTTATCACAAAGGAAGCACCCAATCAATATTTATTGAATGAATGAAAAGCGTGGAGGGTAGTGAAAATGATCTTTCATTGAAAGCAGATCACTGACTGTTTGTTGGGAAGTGGATTAGAAGCAAGGCCAATTAGGATGCTATTTTATTGGTGCAGGGGAAAGATGATAGTAGTTTGGACTATCTTGCTTGGCTTTTGGGATAATGATAACAAATACGAATATTTACATTGTACTTAACTATGCATCAAGTTTAGTTTAAAGCACTTTTAAAATATTAAGTCCTCATCTCAACGCTATGAGTTAGTTCAAACTTTATTATTACTGCCATCTTTCACACTTTTATTATCAGATGAGGAAATTAGGTAGAGAAGTTCACAGTTTACTAGCTGGGTGGAGCTGGGATTAGACCACACGCAAGCTGACTTCAAAGTCCATGCACTTGGCAACTCTGCCGTACTATCCTTCATACCTGCAACTTTTATTCTTCTCTCCAAGCCTTTGCTTGTGCTGTTCCTCCTCTTGGGATGCTCTCTGTTCTCTTCTATCTGAATTTGGCCACCTGTCAAAGTCAGGATCACAACTCTTCAGTGAAAAAGACTTCACTGAACACACCTGTCTGTCCTGCTGCTTGCTCAGTCTGGATCCCTTATAGCCCACACCACATGTTGTGTACATGATTTCTGGGAGTATCTTATTTTATAGATATCCACAAAAAATTCTACACGATCTGAGTTGGAAGAGACCCAGAAGTCATGGAGGAAAGAGGCAGAGGAGCCGAAGACTTGCCCAAGATTGTAGAGAGAATTGGTAGTAGAGGCAGAACCAGAACGGTTTCTTGGCCAGCGTTAGTTTCTCAGTTCATCTGCATCCGCGCATTCTTCACCGGGTCACCTAACGGCGTCTCTCAAAGAGTAGCCCGAGAAACACCTCAGAATCACGTGGAGCACTCACGAAAAATGCAGGCTCGCTAAGGCGGACCTCAGGAATATGCATTGTACCAAGTTCATTAGGAAATTCTCGCGCACATCAACAGTTTGCAAGACTGCGGTCCCATGGCCCAGCGTGCACAGGTCTCAAAAATGCTGCTGAATGGCATTGGCTTTCAAGTCCCACCGCATCATGGGAAATGTAGTTCCGGATCTCTTCTTCCCAGGCCTTGGGGAGCACTCTACGGAAGGAGCCGCGTTGGTCCGGAAATAGCCGAATTCTCTGGCGGCCCTTTCCTGCCCGGTTGCATTCTGGGAAAGGGCAGTTTCCGTTGGGTGCTAGAGTCTAAGGCGCGCGACCCGCCGCAGTCCCACGTGAAGGGCTGCACGATCTTCGCTCGGCGGGGCATCTCCCCGCTCGCCGCGGAGCGTCCCGGAAGCAGCGGGGAACAAGAACTGACCCGCGGCAGCTCCGAAGCTAATCCTGGAGCCCGGTGTGTGGCGCCTCGGAGCACAGCGACGGCGCCATGTCCCTAATCTGCTCTAGTGAGTATCGGCTGCGGCCGATCGCGGGTCGCAGGAGGCCGGAGAGCCGAGCGGGAG